TATATATAATATATATATACTAATAATATTATAATACTAACTAATATTATATATAATATTTTAGTTAGTATTATAATATATACTAATAATATTTTAATACTAACTAATATTATATATATTATCGGAAGTCGGTCACGTTTGAACACGGAAATTAACATTGAAAAATTGTTTACATTATTTTTGTTTCCCTACTTATGTTCTTTTTAATCAAATTCTTAGGACGACGCATCCGGAAATTAACACTAAACTAAGCAGTAATACTAACTGGCATGTACTGCTTCACAAAAGTAAGAAGACCGAATTTATTTAGAATTTGTAAAGTTTTTATCATAAAATCTGCTCCGATAATATAACTTATTCAAGCGTTTTCCACGAAAGAGTCTCGGAACTATGCAGAATTGCAAAATAAGAAAGCGGTCACTTTGACCGCGGTAGGTTTAGTGTTAAACTAGCTCGCGATTAGTGGATTAATCCCCTCGATCGCGAATAAGATACAACAATAATCTATATAATCTGTATCTATAATATAATATAATAACAATAATATATTATATAATAATAATAATATATTATATAATAATCTATATAATCTATATCTTCAAGAATCAGCGTTTTATACGTTCGGTAATCGCGTTCGTGTTTTACAGGAATATAACGCACGAAAGAAAGTCACACCAACGTCTCGTTCTTCGAAGGAATCCTTTCTGGAGCGTTTAACAGGTTGAACACCGGCTAAGCTGGTCCGGAAACAAGGGAACTAGAACACAGAAGCAACTCGATTAGACGCGGTCCGCAAAGTTATACTCGAAACTCCGCCGAGTGCCAAGTTCCAGTGCACCAATTATTCTTGCCGTTTAAGCCTTATGTCGCCTCGGTGCGGTCATGTCGGAAGGGTCAAAAGGTCCCCACGTGCGGAATTCTCGGTACAGAATTCTCTGTCGGTAACCTGCAGTCTGAGTTATCAGTTGTCACCGGCATCGATTTCCCTCGACACAGACGAGCTACTATGTTCCGACGCATACGGGACGCTGTACTTTGTTCGAGGGAAACAAGACGAAGGGAAAAGCTTAGCTGAAGAATAGTTGTTCAGCGAGAAAGAGAGAGGGAACTGTTATATTTGTCTAAAATAGAATTTCGAATCTTTCATTAACCGTAGGACGTTTATGGTAATTAGATGATTTAATGTCTGCTTAAGGTATATGTTATATTTGTTATAACATATATTTTGTTATATTTGTTTAAAATACAATTTTGAATCTTTCATTAACACTAGGACGTTTATGGTATTAGAAGATTTGATGTCTGCTTAGGGTATATGTTATATTTGTTATAACATATATTTTGTTATATTTGTCTAAAATACAATTTCGAATCTTTCATTAGCCCTAGGACGTTTATGGTATTAGAAGATTTAATGTCTGCTTAAGATATATGTTATATTTGTTATAACATATATTTTGTTATATATTTGTCTAAAATACAATTTCGAATCTTTCATTAACCCTAGGACGTTTATGGTATTAGAAGATTTAATGTTTGTTTGAGGTAGGGTCGCTTTGTGTCCATGTAAGAAAAAGTGATATAAATGTTGTTTTCTCTGCTCGAGATGTATTTATTTATACAATATTGTTAAATGATACATTTAGTTACTTATCAAAATAAAATATAAAGAATTTATTAAGTATGTCAGAGTTCCGAGAAAGATTTTGAGAATGGTAAAGTTAAGGGTAACTAGTTTCGCACTGAATGTTTACTTGAGAACTATCCCGACAGCTGCAGTAAGTTATTGAAAAAGACGTCAGAAATGTTTGTTAATAGATGATGTCGATAAATTGTGGATCCTGTATTGAAAATGCGTAAAAACCAACCGAAAGGCAACCGAAGACTGCAGACAAGCGTTGAAAGCATTTTACAATGAAAGAGCAGGTAGAATTATTTTCCTATAATTTATTCTTTCTTTTCTGTGTAATAGTGTACATGGACATCGAAATCTTCGCGAAAATCTATATTCTATGAATAATACTCATTTTAACACTCGCTGCACCATTAACCATGTCTATGTTGTTCATTGTTGCTCGAACATTTTTCACGATCTTGCAGAACGATTCTTGTAGAACGATTTCAAATTCTTATATGATACATGTGCTTGTCAACGGGGTAATTGTTTAATGACACGCTCCGTTAATATTGTTAAAAAAAATTCCTGAAAATTCGCTACTCTAAGATTGCAGATACGACGTGTTCGAGACAACAATGGTTAGGCCGGACATAAAATTCTAAACATATAAAAAGATTAATAGCAGTAACGTAAGTAATATCGTGCTTTATTAAAACGACCGATAAATTTTTCACAGATACGACCGAGACAATTTCCGCGGAACTTCTGTTTCTTGCGATCGACGCATAAGATTCTCGTATTCGCCAGATTAGACTGCGGACATTCCCGCATTCGCACATGACGAAACCGTGCAAAACGCTCGTGTACGAGCGCGAACGAATGAAGTTTATTCCTTTACAAGGATATCGTCGAACAAAAGTAAAAGAATCGTCCGAATTCCGCGAGACGTGGACGCGAAAGTAGGCCTCGTCGACGAAAAGATCCGCAGATCCATTTGTTATTCACCGAGCGAGCAATCTTGTCTGATCAGTGACCGACTCGTTCCACTGGAGCGGAGCGGAGCCCGCTATCGTTAAGATCAGCGTTACCATTCGCCGGGCCGGTATACCCGAGAGAACCACTGCACACAGCTGTTTCCATGGCGCCGATCCTGGCGCTGCTGTCTGATCAATACTTCATCCGAGAGCGTCGGGTGCTGCTGTCAGCGTGGTGGGTGCTGGCCGTCGTGGATCGTGCACGCGTCTCGACGTTTTCACCGGGCGTTCCTCTCGCGGAACATGTCGCGAGCGAATCGATAGCGTTTCGAAAAACGACGATGCACCGTGTCGAAAGGCAGTGGCGCGAGTGACGAAACGGTGAGAACGAAACGACGCGCGATTGCCACCGAGATAATAACAGAGACGGGAGAAAGCGGGGGAGAAAAGGGGAAAGAGAGAAAGAGGGGAGAGAGAGAGGGAGAGAAAGAAAGAGAGAGAGAGAGGGAGAGAGAGAGAGAAAGAGAGAGTGATTATTCGGGGGCGGGGGGTCGAGCGTCTCTGTTTCGGGGTGGTGTCGAAACTCGAGGTGACAGTCTCGCTGCCTCTGACAGACTGCGAAGATGAAGAGGCAGAATGTCAGGACCTTGTCGCTGGTAGTGTGCACGTTCACGTATTTGCTAATAGGGGCGGCGGTGTTCGACGCGCTCGAGTCGAACACGGAGAGGAAACGCTGGGAGTTTCTCTCCGGTGAGTGTATTAATCGGATTCTGATCAGACTGTGCCTGGCTTCACGTGTCCCGAGAGTGTTTCATGCACGGGGTGTCGAGATTGTTTGGGAGAGCGAGCGCGCGGGCTTTCGTAGAGCAGAGTGTCGATGGGGCAAAATGTCTCGTACGAGACAGTAGCTTGATAGCGGGCGTAGAACGTTGCGGGAGTAAATGACTATGATGCGTATCGAGTATCGAAATGTCTAGTCAGAGGTACAGTGAGTTAGTGTCAATAGAGATTAGGACGAAGAAACTTAACGCCAGATTTACGGAACCCGTCACTAATTTCTTGAATTCACGGCTATTCGCGTCGCAAAGATACATTTATTATTAATTCAATTATTATTAAGTTATTTATTCGATTTGTATGTTACTTACGGCAAGTGTTTTCGATAACGCTCGTTAAAAATCAGAATAAACGTCTTATCGTTACTTGTATAAACTAACACGAAACAGCTGTTTCTTGTGCTCCGTAAATCTAGCGTGGAAGAGTCGTTTCGTAGAATAGGACAGATAATGCAGCATCGTAAGCATTAAAAATACACCTAGAATTGTGACCTAGAATTGCGTTCGTATTATGGAGTGTGTTGGTCCGATCCCTTAGCGTCTAAATCCCAAATCAGAATCGTAACGAGCTACGATGGAGTCGGTGCAGACGAAGCAGAAATGAAATCAGCTGTTCCTAAACAAAATTCATACAGCGAGGAATAACTATCGAATCGGCCAAACTCTCGTCTTCGGAGAATATAAGTCGGAGAACGTAATACGTAGCCTAAGTTTCAATTAGACGACTGTAATAAGTCACGGTAGAGTCGCTAGATTAGTGAAGTGAAGTAAGAAAAGAAAAGCCGATCGTAACGAAAGGATTGCGAGACGTTTGTGTGCGCGTGTATGTGTAGTCCTATGGTATTGATGCGTTTGTGCCGAAATAACGGTGCACGTTCTGCTTCAGAGGTACGCCGGAACATGATGAAGAAGTACAACATCACGCAGGAAGATTACAAGATGCTCGAGATCGTGATAATTGAGAACAAGCCGCACAAAGCTGGCCCACAATGGAAATTCGCGGGTGCCTTTTATTTCGCTACGCTCGTGCTCGCTATGATAGGTAAGTGCGACAGATATAATCGTTGTGTACACACTCGCGGTGTGCCATGTGCGATCGATATGAAGGAGTCGACCTTGAAATTTTCGCACGCGCGCGAAGATCTCGAACCTGATCCGCGACCGTTCACGTTTATGCTTAACCCGAGAAAGATAACCTACGTCGCAGAGGCGCCTGCGAAGACTGTTGATTTTTGTTAATTTTTCATAGAGGTTTAGTGATTTAAGTTTAAAATTACTTAAAATATAAAAAAATATAATATAAATGCATTTTATTTTTACAATAATGCCAAACCTTTAAAATGACTAGATTAACTTAAATAAATATCCATTGTTAGTATAAAATTGACGCCTTAGAAAAGCATGCGCCTCTGAAGCGTATGGTTATCTTCTACGTACGTTGTCATATGGTTATCTTTCTAGGGTTAAATATGGCTTTGGAAATCCGATGAGAATTTCTTTCTTCTTTGCATCTGTGACAATATTAAAAATAAAACTGCCGCGAGAAAGAAGGAGGAGGTTTCGCGTTCTCTGAACATTTTGTGAAAGGGACCAGTGGAACGTGCTGTGCTAATTAACTTCTGCTTTGAGACAATGGTAACGAATTAGACGAAAAAGAAAACGCATTAAACGTTGAATCTACTTTTCCATTATTCATGCTCTGTTATACGTAGAATCCGCGGTACTATGTTAACCCTTTGCGCTCGAATGGCGACTCTGAGGCGACGCTAAAGAATTGCCGCAGTATTTTCAAAAGAATGTTCACATTATTAAATTTGTCCGCATTCGATAAATTGTCAAATAATAATAGAAGTGTTCTACTAAGCGTACACGGTCAATTTCATATGCATCGAATGAAAACAATCGCACCAAATGGTAATACTGCAGGTTCGAACGAATGTCCTCGTTTTGTAATGAAAATAGTCTCCGAGTGCAAAGAGTTGAAATTAAGAAGAATTATGAACAGCGATCGCGGAACGATACTGTAGAAATTTGTCCAATATTTAAACAATATTGAATCTGTGTCGACTAGGAAAGGACTAAACGTGACGAAGACAGGAAATATCGCGTACCGTACCTACAACTAGGATTACAACTACTTCACTTAATTTTACAGCTTGCAACGCTCCTCACTCGACGACTCTCGAACACTCTCTGTCCACTCCAAACACGCTCCTTCGACACAATGTCTGCCTTTTCTAAAAACGTAACAATCGCATCCGCCGGCTCTCCGTCGCCGAGGGTTTTCTTCATCTGACCCGGCCTTCGCCAACGTTTCTCTTCTAACCCTTTCGCTACGGCGGGCCTCGCCACGGAGTCCCTCGTGTAGAACGGAGCACCCTGCCGAAAGCAGGAACATTAAGCGCGCGCAGTCTTCAGCTTCAAAAGTCTTTTGCTTGAAAAACGTTGGATTAATATGACCAGATTTATTACAATTGATCGTAGTTTTTGGTAGATGATAGCGTCTGCGAACAGATGAAAGCGAGGCGATAGCCCTTGTTTTAACTTTTGGCTCCATTGTTGTGACCGGTGACTATAGTCCCCCGTCGTGTATAGGTGGCATCTTGTGGCCGGTGACTATAGTCACCCATCGTATGTGGGTGTCGTTTTGTGGCGGGTGACTATAGTCACCCGTAGTAGCGAAAGGGTTAATACAAAGTCTTAAAACTACGGCCTCCTAAGCCTAACACTCCTCCCCGTCCTAAACGTACCCACTAAATTACGATACTACAATACTGTAATCGCGAAGAGTATTTGTACATCGCTGAGAATGTTCGTTTGCGTTTCGAGGATACGGGCATTCGACACCGGTAACCATAGGCGGCAAAGCGTTCTGCATGGCGTACGCCATGGTGGGCATCCCCCTCGGTCTGGTGATGTTCCAAAGTATCGGAGAGCGTCTGAACAAATTTGCATCGGTGGTGATCAAACGAGCGAAGACCTATCTGCGGTGCAAAAAGACAGAAGCGACGGAAATGAATCTCATGCTCGCGGCTGGCATGCTTTCAAGCATCATTATTACCACCGGTGCGGCCGTATTCTCACGTTACGAGGGATGGAGCTATTTCGACAGCTTCTATTACTGTTTCGTCACGCTTACCACCATCGGTTTCGGTGATTACGTCGCTCTTCAGGTACGTTACACCACCTCGATCGTTGTTATCGATTACATTAGCTTTATTGTTATATATTAATTAGCTTAGAATTTAAATTCGGACCTCCGCTTTAAAAAGAAATCTTGAACATCGTTCGATTAAAGAACGTTTAAATTTTCCTTAGATATTAATTGGAGAACAAATACATACATTCATTTGATCGTATTCGAGCGATCGTTTCTCTGGAAATGCATAAAATCGTGTACGCCTAAAATTAGTAACCTTTAACGATATTTCTGCCGAAGGTGTCGAAACACGTCTTCTGGTAATTCCTGTTTGACCCTATTTACACCAAGGAAGGCTAAAAAGAGGCTAATGGACGTCTTTCGAATAATTTCTAATAAAAATTATTTCCTACGCCCTATATTTTCCATGTAATTCGCTTCGCGACTTTTGCATGCGATGGTCGCAAAATCAATTCCGTAAATTAGGCATAGCACAAAATGTCGGTGAAAGAAATAGCGTCGACTCGCTTCTAAATGAAACAATTGTCCGACACGGTCTAAAAACTGTTGCAGAACGATCACGCGCTTTCAAACAAACCTGGATACGTGGCCTTAAGTTTAGTTTTCATACTATTCGGCTTGGCCGTCGTCGCCGCCAGCATAAATCTGCTCGTACTTCGTTTCATGACAATGTAAGTACCCAGAAATAAATCCAATAATAAATCTAATAAATCTAATAACAATCGTTCCCGCGACAATACCACCAAACAAATACCACGAACCCGTTCAAACTGGTTCAAACTGGTTCAAACGATGACAAACTCTTCCAAACGACGCGTCGCGAGAGAATCGTTGCGCCATTAACAATATAATGCTCGTTCAAAACAGGAACACAGGGGACGCTCGTCGCGACGACAACGAGCTTCAAGTGGCCTCGCATCATTTGCTGACCTTGGATGGCGAGGTGGTGGCCGTGAATGGGAAACTGCTGGCTGGACACTTGGCGCTGATGCCGGACGCGGACGACTGCGTCAGCGTGTGTTCGTGTACCTGTCTTGGGCCAGGGACCTCGGAGCTGCTGGACCAAGGGTACCAGGGCTACAGACCTCCAACCGCTGCCAGCCTTCGCGTGAAACGCGCATCCGTCTGATGGAGGGAGTTCCGTCGTCGCAGTTTACGCCGTCGACTGTCGAGGGCCAACAGCAGGGAGCTGCTCGGCATCGACGTGTAAAACCGACCCCGAGATCATCCAACCACTCTGAAACCCGCACCATTCCCTAAGCACGACCCAAGACGATGCGGACGATATTCTGTGGCCGTTCGACGAACTGTACGCTCGAGTTGACGAGCTTTCTGCTTCGACGTTTGTTGGGCGAATCGGATGCGAAGGGACACCTGCGAGATACCTTTGTACGGTCTAGTTCGAGGTTGAACGGTCTTTCACCAGGATTTGCTTTAGTTAGGCTGAATTGAATTTTGTACGATTGGACGCTTGAAAGGTACTATTGGTCACCAGAGCCATTTTTCGAATCATGGAACTAGTTTTCTATCGTGAATTTTATACGTGATCTTGACGCTACAAATTTCTGAGTACGGTAAATTCTTCCCGATTATTGCTCGGCTTGTAAACAAAAATTGACAACTCGGGAAGAGGGGCTCGAATAATTGTATTTCCTCTTCCCAAGTTGTCTATTTTTGTTTACAAGCAGGCGGACAATTGGGGAGAATTTACTGTATCCTTTGAATATAAACTATTTTCACAGAATTTTACTGAAATTTGATATTGCCGTATACGAAGCTACAGAATTCGAAGCTATCAGAAGATCCTTTAGCTTCCTTTAATTCGAAGGAGACTGTATATGAATTTGAACGTTTTAATTGTCTGCGTGAATCGTATTGGAACGGGTCTCTAGAAATCACCATTGGACACACGTGGCAATTTTGAACCGAAAAACAATTCTTCCGAAGCGAATTTGATATCCAAGTACACCGCTGAGATTTCAAGAAATATTTCAAATTCGGCTCGCCTTGATTCGACTCGAGCGTTTCTAAATTAAAAGTATTAATTCTGTATGAATTGTGGAGAAAAAGGCCTCTGCGAAGCTGTTAAGGACAGTTATAAGAACAGTTTGCTTTCGTTGACTTTCAAGCCTACTATTTCTCCGACGAACAATCGCGGACAACGCTTTTGAAAGTAGAAACGATTCTTTCGACATCGATTTTATACGTGATCTCAGATCTCTCATTTTCAAATTAAGGACTAGTATTCCAAATTTCGTTCGGATCGGCTGGATTCTGAAAGGTAAACGAACTAGAACGAGCCCTGGCTCGGCCCAAGGTCCAGCCAGGCTATCGTCCACCTGCACAGGTGGTTGTATATGTTTGCACGTGACACGTCGTGCGCGCGAACGGCCCGTACACGTCCAACAGGTGTCGAGGAAACGAAATTACGAGGCGAACAATGGACACGACAACAGTGTCGACTCGGTTTCTTAGTCGAAACTCATCAACTCGAGTATCGTGTTCGCAAACCGTAAGATTCCCTGTGTGGTAACCCGTGCAAGGTTGTCCGTGGAAGGGGTCAAGAACGTTTTCGTACACGGTCGTTCGTTTTTGAAGACGTATTTTGAGAACTTCGTGGAAAATTTATCCCGAGGAGAGCCCCGCGGAGAGATCGTTTTAGGGTCGCAGTCGTTTAATCCGTGTTATGATACATATATGTACCAAATGGAACCATCGGAGGGTTCCTAGGCGAGATTTTGTAACGATTTCATACGTTTCGTATCGTTCCAGATACTGGTTGCCGTTCGCTGTATAAAAAAAGAAGAAAAGAAAAAATTGTTCTCTCTGAATCGAGAATGTTAGATCGGTGGGGAATCAATGGCCTTCTCATTGCGATTGGGACGCTTTAATCGTGATTCTATGCAGGGTCTGGGCGACTTATAATCCTCGCGCGACAAGAGAGCACCTTCGCGTTCACGTTCCCCCTCTCGCTAGCTTCCCCACTGCCGCAGCTGGTAAGAGGGGGGAACGTGAACGCAACGGCGCCTTCTTGTCGCGCGAGGACTATAACATTGCCCGCGGAAACGTAAGCGAAATTGTTAATTTTCTTTGTGATACCTGAATACGTAAAGGGTAATTTTTCTTAATTCTTCGTCGACAATAGCAACAAACGTACAAGTGGCCATTGATTATGCACCACGCTGGTATCATAATCACGTTTAACCCATTAACTATCATTGACAAACTTCTGTTGTTGCTTGATTGACAAATTGCGAAACTAACGCGATCGCGATTATTTTATTTTCCGTTGAAATATCTGTTCGGTTGCAAAACACGGTTTTGTTCAGTTTTATTAGACGACTTGTACAGACGCAGAGAGTTACATTTCGTTTTCCACGATTAATGTAAGAACATTGGTTTCCATCGATGAATTGGTCCCCGGGTAACGAACGATGACATTTAATGGGTTAAAGAACGCTCTACGAGAAGAAAGTATTTCCAATTCGACAAGTTGTTCGCGACGGAGTATTAAAGGAAACGGAAAATACGATTTTATGTGGTGGAGTAGTGCCTAGTAATAATAAATAACCAATGTTAGGGAACATCGTTGTTCTGGTTTTTACAAAATTTCATTGGACATCTGCCAGACTCGGTGACAGGAACCGTACTAACAATGTGTGTTGATGTGCCCTTGGTGGTCTTTGTTAAGTAAATTCCTAGAGTCGTTGATAATTCATGCATTTAAAAGTCAATGTGTCTCAAAATGGTATTGGAAATAGTTTTAATAGACGACCGACGAAGGTACGGAAAACTTCAGCATAAGCATAAACGTTCTACAACGGAAATATTATTCGTTTATATCCAAGAGACTCGCGTTTACATCCACTTTACTTGCCAATAAATATTTACTAAATTTAATTGAATCAGATCGAATCGATATAGATTATTTATCGAGCATTATTTAATGATAATAACGTTTACATTCGTTCGAACTTTATTTTCTGGTAAACATTTACCGCGCGAAAATATCGTTGTAATCTTGCTCGAATCCGTGTTTTCGACGACAATAACAATATCTTGTTGTCAGTTGCAGATTTCAACTGTACGATAACTAATACTGTGACGTTATGCAAGAGTAATCTGTGCCATCGTTCCTCGTGAAAATGGCGACACGTTCGCCTGGGTGTATCCAAAGACGGAAATTATTTGTACACGTATATTATGCATACGGCAGAAGAATTTTCTGACCTCGATAGCGTGATTGTTAAATATGAATGCAGATCGATGTTTATACTAGTACGTCACTGTAACGCCATGAAAAAAAATATAGTCGTCGACCGATTAGTGCGATTTTGTAGCAACGCAAACATTCATAGGCGAGAAAGTTTCGTAGAGGAATCATCGTGACGAGAGTCTAAAAAAGTCTAACCTTTTCAACACCAAGAAACTCGATTGCCACCGTTGATATTCTGGAAAAATTTGTCACAAACTCAAATTATCTAAATTAATCTAAATCAATCTAAATTAATTAAATTATCTAACTCAAATTATATCAATTTCAATCTTAAATTATCGATGGCTCCACTTCACATTAATTTGACTGTGTTTAATATTATTATAATATAATATATAATATAATATAATATAATATAATATAATATAATATAATATAATATTATTATAATATTTAATATTTGTCTATAAAAATTAAACAACGATCAGTGACAATTATAATCTAAGGATTAATTCAAGAAATATTCAAGAAATATAATACGATAAATATATAATTCAATTGAATTAAACAGAGCCAGCGGTAGCTATACTTTCAAGATTGATCTTTACATAATTCAAGACCGTTCGACTTCTTCGATTATTTAGCAAAGATTCAATGGTAATTATATTCTGAAAAATTGTATGGTACAAAACACTTCGAAATTTCGTACCGCGCTGCGAACGGAATTCAAGAAAATCTCCGATATCGATTTTGTTGCAAGCAAAAACTACGCTTACAGTGTGAAGATCGTGGCCGCGTGTTACTTTGATTCTTCTACGGTAATGACTCGGCGGAGACGACGTCTGAAGGTCGTATTTTTTTACTGGATTAGAGAGTACATTAAACGACAAACAGAAATATCCGGGAAGACTGATAACACTGAGGTTAACTTAAGTGGCTAGTTATATTTTTCACGTGTCACGGAGACCATTTTCTAGCTGCGCTTTTTGACCCCCTAACTGGAGTGCGGCGCGGGCAAGCTTCCCTCGAGGGGAAACCTGCGAGTAGTTACGAAATGGTTCCTGGATATTTTTTATTGTTCACCACGTTATTAGAAGGCCCCAGGCGCTTTGAACGCGTTGAAACCTTAGACACCCGTGAGAATCGACGCCGATTCGTGCATCGAATTCGCACATTCGAAAGGGGATTATCGTAAAACGTAGACTAATTAGGCTCCACGCGGTCGAACGATTCAGTTCACACACATTAGTTTGTATCCGGACAGCTTTTATACGACGACGTATAGCTCAATTTTATATGCCATAGATGCATGTTAAAATATTTTGGCACTTTTCATAGCTCGTTTTTCAGGTAACGAAACGGTTCTCGAGCGTTCAACGATCACGAAGTATAATTAAGCAACGATCGAACCAGTTGGAGGGTTGAAACGATGATTACCAGACTGCGGATCTTTATAAAAAGGAAAACGTTTCTCGGTAGATCGCGAGGAACGTATTTCTTCGTTTATCTAAAATCACGATTCGTTTTATGTATACAGAAAATCCGCGGTCTACATTATGCCCCTGATCGCAGCTTAACACTTCGATTGCCGTGTTTCTCGTTATTGGAGGACAGAATTATTTACACAGATTCGAAAAGTAATTTTTCTCTTGATATATACATATACACAGGGTGTCCCAAAAATGTCTCGCAATCCGGAAATAGCGGGTTCCTCGGATCATTCGAAGCAACTTCTTCCTTTACAAAAATGTTCTCCGAGGCACCGTTAACGAGTTATTAACGAAAAACAATGACCAATAAGAATCGAGTACGGCTGACGCGAGGCGGCGCAGCCAACCAGTCTCGCGCCAGCTGAGCTGGGATTCGACCGCTCGACCGCTGGCGCCGTTGGCTCGGCCGCCTCGCGCCAGCTGAGCTGGGATTCGACTGCTCGACCGCTGGCGCCGTTGGCTCGGCCGAGCTCGCCTCTCATTGGCCACTGTTTTTCGTTAATAACTCGTTAACAGTGCCTCGGAGAAAATTTTTGTAAAGGAAAATGTTGCTTCAAATGACCCGAGGAACCCGCCACTTTCGGATTGCGAGACATTTTTGGGACACTCTGTATGCATATATAATTTTTATTATATAATATTATATACATAATATTTGTATGTGTGTGTATGCATAAAATGTGCGCAATCATAATTAAAATAGTATCGAGCATCGTGCATTACGAGCTCGCAGTTTGTATCGTTTCATTGGGTGAATTAGCTTGCGGAATTTTTGAGGTTGCCATGGCAGTCGAAGCGTTAAACACCTCGGTATTCTAATCTGTGAATTACGATAGTCGATCCATGTGATCCATACACGCACAAAAGCTAACCCCTTTCGGTTCACGAAACCACGAAGTCGCGTCCCGTGCATCCCCATCGGAACCATCGT